GGCCTTTGAATGGTCACCAGATACAGGCGCCTTATAAATGCTGCATTATTATTATTATTATTATGTACCATAATTCTGCCATTTTAGTGTAACTTTATCGATCGTCCTCTTTAAGTACACCATCCAGAAAACAACCCCCGATAATTGAAAAGGGCCAAGAAACATGATGTAATGAGTGTACGTGCATTTAAGCGCATGTTACAATAAGCACAGGCAAACTTACCACTTTTGAATTTACAGTCATGCAGATATGCATTTGCTTCTTGTGTAAAAACAGCACAGTGCATTGAGGTATAACAGCACAATGCACAGGGTTTGACATGGTTCGTACAACACAGTTATATGTCACACTGTTTGTTGCCATGGACCAACCAATCAGAATCAAGAACTCAAGTTTGCCTGAAGATAAACAATGTGTGCAGTTCAATAAGTTTTAAAAGGACTCTTTGTAAAAGCCATGAAGTTGTGGCATGGGTGTATAGAGTTCAAATTGCATATTCATCAGTGCTGTTCTGAAACTTTGTTACTGATTTCTTGATTACAGATTAAAGACAAACATCAAGCGCTTTAGTAAGTAGAACAAAACTACCTTTGAATTAAAGCCTCTTTTCTGATTAAAAATGAAAAAGAACAGCAACATTTGAAAAACAGCAGCATTCAAAGCTTAATGATGTTTGCGGGAAAAAGTTTAAAGTTGTACCGTAGTCAATGCTTTGCTTTCAGGCAAACAATTGAAACGTATGTAAAATTTGTCATCTTGAAAGAGGAACTTCCTGATTGGTCGAGGAAGTATGTGCCACAACCATCTGTATTAGTAGCTATAATAACCAGCCACTTCCAACAAAAGGCAAACTTGTTACATATTCATGAGCTAGGCACATTTTTCATTGGACACAAAAACATGGTAAAGGGGCCAGTCACACTGACAGTGTTTCCCTGCCAAAAAACATTTTACACTTGAAAATGAGCATCCACACTGTACTTTGACTGAAAGGATAGACCAACTTGTGTTGTTAAAAGTTGTTATCCTCGTTTGCAGTCGATGGATGGACCAAACTTGACTGGTCAGTTTTGACATTAAAATAGATACTGCCTTTAAACTCAAAACATCACTCTCTGGTCTCAATTCAGTTACATGTATGTAGCTTCCACATTGGTACACATAAAGAACGGGTTGTGAAGTGCTCAAAGCATGTAAAATGTAAAAAACCGTCAGAGGAACACTGTGGATGCAACGGTAACTTATTATCTGATCTCTCTTGACTGTATTACGTGCCATTGGCCATTGTGTCAGTGTAGTGTGAAAGCACAAGTAACCAATCGTAGCTGGCTGGTAGTGCGTAGTGCATAGTGTACATTGCTTCAATGTTAGCTCCTGGACTTTCAATCAGGTAACTGCTATGATCTCAAGTCAGTTTGTTAGTGGTACCAGTCTGTTGTCATGCATTTGGCTGGGTTGTGATGCAGAGGCTTCAGATTGGTTGAAGTGGACTTGAGAAATTTCAAAATGTGGCTTTCTTTTTTATGAGTGCAAGTTGGGGCTATCTACATGTAAGGTGTGTTGTGATTATTATTTAAGATGAGATCAGCAGTGACCAAAACGGCTTGTAAAAAATGATAGAGTCGAAATAAAAAGGGAAAGACAATCGATTTAGTCTGGGAGAGCCCCAAATACCAATTACACCTAATTACACAAGCATATATCTACTTGGGTCCCACATACAAAACTTACCAGTGGGTCATTCTATAAATTCGGGGCCCAAAAATGTGACATATTTGTGTCCCGCATACACCTGACCTGTGTCATTTGACATGGAAATATCACTGAAGTTGATTTCAAAATTTTTCTATTTATTTGGCAGGTAATTTGCATTAAAGTCATCACTCCTAAAATGAGAAAATACGTTTTGAACTTACAAAAATCATGTCAGGCGTGACAGGGACATGGAAAAACATGGACCCCTAATTTATAGAATGACCCAACGTCAAAAACAATCAAAATATTTACCGCAGACATAAATGCCATTTGAAAATGTTAAAAAGTAACAGCAACAAATGAGCTGCAAGACATTGAAAATCCCAGCCATTCATTGTTTGTGATTGGTCTTTGTCAGAGGCAGGCTACCAGCCAATCATCCAGTGGCTGAAGGCAGTTGGTAACCTGTTTGGGTGGAAATCAGCACCCGCCTCCTTCCTTGCATTTACCGTAAGTTTGTGGAGCCAGTTCAGGGTCATAGTTAACATTTAGTGTTTTTTATTTTAGCAATGTCCGTTTGTATGTCAGTGACTCATCTGTCATTTTTAAAGATGAGAGGGAAGGGGGCTAAGGCTGGATTCAGGGGGGGCCATGGGGGCCATGACCCCTCCCCATTTTTTTGCAAAATAACAAAAGGCAAATTTTTTGTTACCAATGGTACTGGGCTGATCAAAGTCATGGCCAAGTTCAGTGAGAGGGAATGTTAACATTTTTGGGGGGAGGGGGTTGGGCAAATTTAATACCTTCCCAAAATCTTAAAATCAGTTGAACTAAAGAAAAATCTCTCCTCCATAATTTATGGATTTTTCTTCTTGCGGAGCAGATTCAGCTGATGCGAACATGACCACTTCTCATTCAATTTACGAGTAGCACACTTGCCATCTAGCTAAGATAAGGTGAATGTTAAAATGAGGCTATCTCTGTTTCACCCATAGATCTACATGTATGCAGTCATGAAAGGTTGGCTGGTATCATTAATGTTGGCACTAGCTCTCTGGCACCTTACCAAGACCTACTTGATATCAAAGTGAGTATGCTGAAATGACACATTGATGTCCACGAAACTACATGGAACATGAATAAAGTGACATGAATTAGATGTTATGTGAATTTGGTTGGATTTGATTCTGTGTAATTTTGGGGATTAAGCGTCCTAACAGCAGCAAGGCTAAATAATGAATGCTGCCGCCACTATACGGTCAAGCCTGAGGCATGCATAGATGCCTCAAGTAACCACCAAGCGACTCTCTTATGACCATGGAGCATTACCAGAGATCAAAAGTATTGATTTTTGCGTAGGAGAGGGAACCAGGAAAGCTCGAGAGAAATCCTCATGGCACAAGAGAGAAGCCATGGAGTACTCGACTCTTGTATAGCCCAAGAGGGGAATCGAACCTGGGACCATCCAACATCCATCATCTTACAATTCATCCAAAGTCTTGTGAGGCCTATGGTGTCTGTGCATTTACCTTCCTGTCTGTCTTTTCTATGGAACTATGGACTACCAGGTTCACACAAATATTAACAACTCAGCTTTAAACATTTTTTTCTTCAAAGCATATAATTTGTAACAATTGTTATATGTAATTTTTAAAGTCAAATTCTTTTCCTTTTATGTAGTTTGGATCTTTTAAAGATTTTAATTTACAATGCTGTGTTAAGAATAAGTTATAATTCTGTATGTCCCTAGTATTGAACAGTGAGTGACCATAAATAGGGCCCATTTCCTGTGACTGAAGGCCCAGTGATGAGTAATGCCAAGCAGTAGAGAATGATGATGGGTAACACTACCACAGTGCACCGGCATTGCATTCTGTCACGTTTGTGGCCGGCAGTGGCCATTGTGGGATATAATGGTGAGCCTTGATGACCTGCAGGGGTGCTGTACGAGGTTGAGAGGCATTTGAGTTTGATGCCCGACCGTTTGCACGCACAGGTTCATCCACGCTTGGGGTGGGTCGCGCTTAGCATGTGGGACCAAATTGGTGTTAGAATGTACAGTCGTCACATTTGCACAAGCCAGGTTAAAAGGTCCCCTACCAGCCCGTATCATCTTTTGCCAGTTTGGCACTTCTAGTCAGCATGGATCATAACCTTGCAAAGTGCTAGGCGCAAGAGAAAGCTAGAGCTGAAAGTTCTCTGTATAACATACAGCACTGAATTGAACTTTGCATTGGGCCATTTGCATATAAAGTCAATTGGGTCATGTTTCTGTTGGATTACTGTTGGAAATGATAATACCTAAATTGTAACGGAGGAACCGGTGAAGTCACTTGGCTTGCAGATACTCTTGAGTTTGCACCCAGGATTTCAGAAGTTGACATTATTTACCATTCCCTAATGGGGCTAACTTGGGCAAAGCAATGCCACAGTTGGCTCTCAGTGTAGGTGACACCAGCCCTTATACTGTTCTGTCTGAACACAGCCTATGGATGGTTTGTCACCCAGCTGTAGCAATGAAAACACATTCCCTCTCCATAATACACAGACTGCATTCTGGGTGATGAGAAATCACCCATGCATGGATAATCAACATGCAGTCACACCTCAAGGGGACATGTCTACCATGCATGGAATGAAAAGCATCAGTATGTGAAGAGAACAGTGCGGTTGGGAAATAGATGAAGTCTTGGACACGCAACTAGAATTTGTGATGGAGAGCACAGTGACCCGTGCATGGAGACAGTGTCCTCGTACATTTACTTGTAGTCTTGTCACCGTCAGATCATCGATTACACTGAATTGCTTGACAATGAAGGACTCACACACTGACTGGAAGTAATCAGTCACAGTGAACATGTGAAGAACAGTTAATAGTTCTAGGATTATCCGTGTTTGCCTTATCCATCCACCTTAACCAGTGGAAGTCACGATGGTAAATATCATCAAGTACTCACTGAGTATGGCGATCACAATGAGAGTCTTATTTCTCTTCATATTGTTTAATATTTGTTGAGCACAGCTTGGCCGGGTTATTACATGATGTAGCTGTCACAGGCATCGTTGAATACAGCAAACTCAGTGACGCTTTGCCATGAAGACAAATGATAAGGAGATGTGGCAATATCCTGTATGTATTTTATGCACTGGTGAAAAACAAACTCTGAACGGCACGGGTTGGCATGGATGGGATGGGGACGGAGATGGGACGGAGATGGGAAGAAAACCAACGACAAGGGCTAAGGGAACAAATGAAGAGAAGGCAAGAACTTTGTCCAAATTCTGTTCCAAGAAGAAAAACAAAAGAGAGATATGCACACAATGTAAGTGCTCAGTAGATACCAACAAATTGCCATCCTAATGCACAGAAATTTTCCGTGTAAAAATGATGATGGTTTCTTAGTTTCTTTGAGCAAGATTCTTTTTGAGGGCTGTGTATTGTTCATAGTCCCCAAATACCAGTATTGCACTGTGATTAAGGAATGCTGTAAAAGACATTACTATTGCAAATACATGTGTACATGGCTTGTCTTGTCAGTAAGAAGTACCTCAATGTGATGTAGCTGTAGGCTGTAGTTGAGCAGGTGCCAAAGCATGGCATCTAATTCCATTCAAACCTCAACCATTGTTTTATGAGCATCTATGGTCATCCTTGCCCAGCTACAAATGTAGGGTAACCGACCAATTAAACAAAGACATGGATGTAAAGTTCATGTTTGTAACTCTGCCAGTTGCAGTGTAGGTTTAAGCATGTTTTTGTGTTCTGTGCCACGTCGAACGATATTGAGGTCAGTCCAAAATTTCTGTGGAAAATCTGTGGTGCAATGCGTCAATATGATGTCTGTTTTGGCAAAGATTCTGTCAGGATTGACATGACAAGCCTGTTACTCAACGGTGTGTACTTTTTTACATCATTGCAGTTGGTTCAGCAGTGTGTGGCAGCTATTTATTTTGTTGTCTCTTTTCCTTGTACACAGGGGCTTTGCAATCAAGTTTTCACTGTTACCCTACTCTGAAGAGGAAGAGGTAATGTTTTGAACTCAATCAAATTATCCAAACAAATTGGCCAAAATTAAAACACCAGTTCATGCACATTTTTTTTGAAACAGAGAATTGTTAAATCTGAATGTGATAAAACATAAACGTATCTTAATCCAGTTATAAAATATACAAACCAGATTTTAGAAGACCATATGCAAAGACTGTTTTGTTCAGCCTCTGCAACAGGTGAAGGCTTTTGATTAATCTTGGCTTGAATTTAATTAGTGATCAAAACAAATGACAGAAAGTATGCATGCTGCTGCTCTGCCCTGATTTGATGATTAAGCTTGTTTTTCTCCGCCATAGAATAATGACATGGACAAGCAGCTGGGGCTGTCGGACAAGTTCCAGCTGGTTCTCCTGGTTGCAAGACGAGTCCAGAATTACTTGGGTTGGCTGGCAGACGGCTTAGAAAAAATACAAAAGTGAGTATGTCAGCCAATGACAGACCTCTGCTAAAAGGCTGTGGACAACTTTCTCAACTTGTATTCTGAAAATTGGAAATTTTGGGGAAGATGACTGCTAAAGACAAAGTTGAGATATTTTGCTGAGGTACTTTTTAGAATTAGTACAGAAATATTTCAGAAATCTACTGGACAACATTCACGATGAAAGTATTTCCTAAAATTGGCATTCTGCTTGAGGAAGTTGAAGAAACTTAACACTGCAGGACTTCTCTTTGAAACCTGTTATTTTTAATGAGCCCAGAGCTTGACCAAGTTTTCCTAGCAACGGAGGCTAGCAACGGAGGCTCCTTTGGTTGGAACTGCACTTTGCTGGTTCACAAATGACTATTGCATTGTGGTTGCATTGTTAGCAGCAAAATGAATACCCCTGACAGACCAACCTGGATCTGTTTAACCAATGAGGGAGTGCTTCTGCTCATCATCATCTTTGGTTTAAAGGTCGTTATCCAGTCTGCTCTGGGTTGGCCTGCTTTTTTACTGTGGCTCTCTTTCAACAAGAAAAGCAGATAAACCTGGGTAGCTGTAATTCACAGATCAAAAAGGAGATGTAAATTGAAGAGCAAGGCCTCAGTTTTTTACCAGACCACTGAAACAAATGATGTCAAAGTATACATCAGTAACAGCTATTTCATACATTATTTGATTTTTTCCCCCATTGCTAATGTGAACGATTAAGTACTGTTTGATCACTCAGTGATTTCTGAAGAAGCTTGTGAAAGAGAAAATCCACAAGCTTGCTTGGTTTGGATTCAAACTGCATAGTGAAGCCGGAGATCAAGGGTTCAAGGTTTAATTTAATTTTTTTGTATAACACTTTTCCACTGTCTATTGAACCAAAAATTAAATATTGGAAGTTAAAACATGTACATAAAACAATCAACATGGCACAACAACAAACAGATGACAGATGCAAAAAAGAATATGCCTAAAAAGCCAGTGAATGGCAAGATGGAACAGGTGACCAGCACCTCTACAGAGCCATCCTACCACATGAAGACCCCCTCCTCAAACAAAGCAAATATGAAGTGGAAAAGACAGGTAGAAAATCAACAAGTCCCACCTGAGTGAATTTTTCTCCAAGTTCCGAACACTAAGTACGTAGTGCTTCATGAATTTCATACGCAGAGACAAGTAACCAAATATTTAAATTAAGTTCTCCCACATGAATCTCATTAACATTAACAGTGATGTTCAGTGTTTCTATTACAGAGAGGATGAAGTATGCCGCTGATTCACCGGCAACAATTAAGCTTTTTTTTTTTTTTTTCAATTTGCTTATCATGTTGCTATAGTCTTGTCTTGTGGGGCAACCCAGAAGCTACCCAGAAGCTCTACACAAGCCTGCTCTGCGCGTTTATTGCATCTGTGATCCTGCCCGGGGAATGGTTCTTCATTGGTGCAGGTGTGTGTCAATCGGGTCATGTTGTAGTCATTGACGAAATCGAAGGGGGTGAAGGGAGGTTGCGCCCATGGAGTGACAGGAAAACTTCAGATTAAATTTCCAAAATTCAAATTCGGAATGATGAGCTATGGTCTGCGCTAGTCATTTGGTGAAATCTAATGCCAAAAACTTTAGTTTAACCAAACTTGACGAAAATAATGTGGTGTCCACTCCCTCTCCCATCCACTTTTTCTTTAAAATGTCCAACTGAATGATTTCAAAATACTTTTAAACCTATGAGAATCATTACAAGCATTACAAAACATAAAAAACAATAGAGTTTTACTCATGTCCAAATGTCACCAACGCTCCTCAACTTCGTGGAATAACCCAGTTGTTTTTTGGAAAGTTCTGGGTTGATACATGGACCCTGAAGCTTGTGACAATGGGAAGGGTGCAAGTAGCCTAGACAGTGGGAACAAGGCTTGGGGCGACAGTTGTCAAGATTGAATACTGGAGCTGTACAAGGAGCTCCGTGCACTTGAGGAAGGTGAATTTGTGTTGGCCATATTGACCACCACGGATTACCTGCGTGAGTTGCTCACTGTGTTAGCCCAAAAATCGAGGCTAGATTTATGTACCCTGTAGTCTGGTCTTGGCGACTGGCCGCTTCCCTCACCATTTTTCCTTTTTGAAACACGGGAGTTGACCCCAAGAAAGAATAAATCACTGATGAAAGCTCAACCTCTGGTGTGCTGCTTGATGACACTTGCTCCTGACCTTTGGCCAACTTGCCCCCAATAGAGCTAGAGCCATATTGCCCCAAGCGCCCTACCACACAATGCTACAGTTACATTTGTGGCTGCGCCGCCTGCCAAATACAACAGAACTCAAACAAAGCTGAAAGGTCCAGAACCTGCTGCTGAATGCAGCAAACAAGCAAAAGCATATACAGCATTTTTTTTTGCTGCAAAGTATGATACTTCACAAACACCAGCCTTGACAGTGTGTGGCTGCTTCCAACCGATCCTCCATTTCATTGCATCATTGAGGGTCGGGTTCAACAAAACTTTTTCTCCTTTTTTCCTCTTAAAAAAAAAAATGATAAAAATTCAGGAATATTCCTTGGGGTGAAGCTTTTCATCACAGACAACATATTCAGCAGGTTCCCACGTGTGAAAGCTAAGTATGACTCCTCCTACATCATGTGGCAATCACTACCCACTCACGCCCAGAAACAGAGGAAGAACACTCTGGAAAGAAGAAGAAAGGTGAGAAATCTGTCGGCCAAAAGAGTTGCAGTGGTTGTCTTCATGTGTTGTGATAGTCAAACTTGCTCTGGAAGACTTCAGTAAGTAGAGGGGTACAAATTTTACTGGGGCACGAATTCAGTAATACATCGCTTATTGCGGTACCCCGATGAGACTGGGCAGAAGGTGTCCTTAGATGGCTCTTCTGAAACACAAAGCTAAATGTTGGGGCTCTCCAGCACACACTTTTTCGAGCAAAAGGAAATGACACAGTCCCTCCACATAGAAGAAAATCAAGAAGATCTTTCATTGCTCGCAAAATGACCCCTCCCCCCAAAAAAAATTCTGGGGGAGGGTATGGCCCATGCCCCCCCCCGATCTGCCAATGTATGGGCATGTGTGCTATCTCCACTCACAAAGGTACCCATCAGTACAATGCATATCTGGATGGAGAGAGGCAAGAAGGGTAAAGCAACTTGCCCGAGGTCACACAAGTTACAAACTGCTGGATTTTGAGCCCTTAATACACCAGGATATAAAGTCACAAAATAACTTGAAATGGATGTGCTTCTCTGCTTTATGGTGTGTAGTGTGCTCTTCCTGCAGGAATTAAGGCCTCATACTTACACCATCCTTTCCTCAAGTCTCTTGGATTTCATAGTGATTCCTGTTTGTACTTTTCATCAGTGGAGGACCTCTTCAGTGTTGAAGTGATTGTGCCTCTTCACAAGTACTTACATTGTAAGCAGGAAACGGCCTGAGTACTTCTGCCATCATATGCTGTCATGCATAGAACATTAAACATTAAGTGCACCAATAACAAATATGATTTGTTAAATAGTATAACACTGCACAAAGCTTTTGATAGCTGACAGTGTAGGCAGTGAACCTCAGCCTGGTTACCTTGTAGATGGTGTACTTTAGTGGCCATCGTAGGGTTTTAGTGTCATTTTAATTTACCAACAATGAATACATGATACGGCTGCATCTGAAATAAACTTCCAGAGCTGCGACTACATCTGTTGTCAGCATTTGCCCACGCATGTGCAGTTGTCAAAGACTTAGACCTAGTCCACTGCCTGAACTGTTTCCATGCTGTGTTCCCAGCTGACCTGTGCACACAGGCATCGAACTAAGTAACATACCGCTGATAGAGGGCGCTCACACACACAATCTGGATCCAAAACACAGTGTTGTCCATTTGCTCAACCTACCCCAGGAATTATCAGAGAAGCTTTACTCTGTCCAGACGCTGCTCAGTCAGTGCTGATTAGTTCACACACCCGTACTAGTTGTGCATATCATGTGTACATGTACAAGAGCAATTGGGAATGTTGTTACGTATGCATGATGTCATAGCATGCGTAACCATTTTCAAGTTATTAACCTTTGACCTTCAGCATTCAGAGGAAGAATGTTATTATTTTGGTGTCTTTAGTTAGGCTACGAACACTGAAAACATTAAATAACAGCCAGAACCTTGCTGTAGACTCAAGATTCAGGTGCACCCTGTGTCTCATCCTGCCAGTAAGAGATAAATTAAACTCACCTGTTGAGACGGCTGGCACATTTGCCAAAAACTCAGATCTCAAATCAAACGTGCCTGTTCATGACTAGGATGGCATTCAGGGACACCTAAGCTCACCTCTTTATTGGTATTCAACAGCTGTAGTTAACGGGCTGATCTACTGAAGTTCTGAAAAAAATGTATTTGTCATTGTCTTATTTGTTTATTTTATTGCATGCGTCACGTTTGATGCATGAATATACTTGTATTCATTCAGTTCAGAGAGTGGCACTCACCGTAATCTAATGACTTAAACACTTGGCTCGTGAGAAACTGAGAGCTGTACTCGATCTGAGCTTCTCGGGACTTTATACTCGCATGCAACCGAGCGACGAAACTACAGCTTTGACTTGAGCACGCTGAACAACTGAATGACTCTTTGCAGGAAATTAACACAAGCAAAAGCAAAGGGCTATCTTTGTTTCAGTCCTTATTAAACTGATGTCATTGAGGCCTTCATGCTGTGGTGTTTTCAATTTTATAAAAGTGATGGTTATCTCCTTACAAAGTACCTGAAAGAGGACACTTCCAAATTTTGATCTGAAGTCTGTATCTTTATATACACTACTGAAAGAAGTACATGTAGTAACTTTGTGTTCTCTGTAATAACAATCAAGTTCTTTATTCATTGATGCCAGTATGTCATACCAGCTGTTGCCACGGAAACAACCCCCGCTGAGGGTCAAGGGGACTTTCTGGAGATGTTCTCCCTGCCACCAGAGGAACTGCCGTTGCCAGGTAATGCAATGAATCGGCGATGATAAAGCCAGACAAAAGAATCACAAAACTGGACCGTGTCCCAAATTTTTAAAGACTTGTAACCTTTTGATACCAGTTTCAGGCATAGCACTCAAGCTTGTGTCGCAGATGGCATTATTACTTGCTCGTGAATAGGGAAATTTTAAAAAAATGCTCTCGAAATGTTAATGCAGAGATAGAAAATAAAGATATGAGAGACAAAATACATGTAAGTATGTTAAAAATCCTCTTATATAGCCTTTTCATCATAGCTATAATATGGTCAAACTTGCAGTGGCATAATAACTAGATGATATTTCTGAGGGGGCACCTTGGGTTACATGCATTTTTTTCAAGGGGTTACTGAAAGCATATAAACTGTACATAGGCTTTATACAGGCTGTATCAAGATTTAAAAATTGAGGAGGTCTCGGTGGTGTTGATTTCTGTCTCCCCATCCATGCGAATTTCTTCCCTCCCCCCAGTTATGCCACTGCAAAACCTAACTCTCTCTGGGGCCTCCTGCACTTAGATGCTTTTGACCTAGTCAAATGCCAGTTTTTCTGTTGAAGTTAAATTTTTTATTACAACTTTTCCCCATACGCTTGCATCTCCTGGTGTAAACATTGGCAAATGGTGCAAAATACACAAGTTGGCTAATGTACTGTGCCGTGCACCATTTACAAATAATTGATGTTAAATTTCATTCGTATTGAGATTTTGATGGGAGGGGGTGGGGAGGCACTGAATATTTTGAGGAGTTAATGGTTTTTGTGGGAGGTGGTACTTTTCAACAGGTGTTGGCTTTATAGCCAACACTGGTGCAGTTTTTTGGGTCCAGCCCAATACTCAAAAATTGTTGACTGGTTACAGTGCCCTCACATTATGAAAACAGTGAAAAAATTTGAAAAAATGGAAACTAGGGAAAACTAAAAGCATTCCTTTGATTGTTGAATTAGTTTTATTTTGTTATTGTAGTTAATGCCTGTATTGCAACAGTTCAGTCACAAAACCCTGAAAAATTTCATTTTCTTATTTTACGTTTTGGACAGAGATGTGTTGTTTAACACAAAAAGTCAGGCATTATTTAGCCATTTGTGCACATCTGTGCCCCCCCCACTCTTGTGAGTGAGCTGAAGAGGGTCAGTAAGACTCTTGGGTGCAGAGACGTGCACTAGTGACCTCATAACCAGTCCATATGCACATACTTTAGTGCCCACAGCTCGTATCAGCAGTGCTATGAAATTGGGCTGTGATATTCTTAGGACTAACCCAGATTTATCAAACTTTGTGTTCTGCACTATTTGGCATTTGCATAGGATGGTCAAAACTATTTTGTAATTAGAAATAACACAGGTCCCTAAAAAATGCCTTTTATTAAGTGGGCATTGGAATTGTTTTTAAAGATTTATATGAATTTCTCCTCCTATCTTTTAAAAATTCACGTTAGAAATTGCAATTTCCTTTTTCAATCAATTGTAAATTGGTTTGGTCTCAACAAGGTTTACTCGCTCATCTTCCTTGATTGAAAATTAAATTCACAATTTCCCCAACGCCATTGTGATAAATTGAATCCAATTGTTAAACACAGTTGTATTTGATACAGATATTTTCCTACATTTTGTTCCCTCCTTTTTTGTCTTGATCAGGATGGCAGTCAGGAAAACGATGCACACAGATTGTCCGAGATAAAACGGTCTCCTTCAAAAATGGCAGACTGTATCTTACAAGAAGGTATGCACGTACATTCGCACTTTGCCAGTTTTATCCGTATACCAGTAGATGCTATGAAATGTAATAATTTTAATCCCAAATGGTACGTTTGGGGGGCATATTCATAGTCTTGTGTACAAAGTTTGACAACCTGGCAATCCTAAATGCTAAAACCCCTTGAAGCAACTGTTATCCACTTTTATTATATTACACTCTGAACTTTCCCACAAAATAAAAAAAATGTGATCTTCTAAGAGCTGAGGCATTAGGGACACATCAAAATCAGATTGCCTCCCTGATAAAGTGTCTCCCAAAAGACATTACAGTGTCTTGCATTACCCTGTTAGTGAAAGCCAAGGGAAACCTAATGCTCAGATCTGTAGTTAGGTCCTTTTATGAGGCCCCAAGTGCATTTCATTAGGAGATGATAAGGTAAAATTCAAACCACATGTGCCAGAGCCATGCCGTGACTGACAAGTTCTTTGAGTGAGTGAGTGAGTGAGTGAGAAGATGAGTGTTTGGACATAGAACTTGACACAGGTAATCATGACAATTTAACACACAATAGTTCACAAATTCAACAGTCTGAAACTTCAGGAGTCCAAAAATACATCAAGGTTAAATGATCTGAAGGGTCTATGATCTCAATCAACAGTAACTAATAATGTTCATTAATGCAATTAATGCAAATCAAGGTCCAAAAGAAGGAGATATGAATGATTTAAGAGCAGTGAAAGTTGAGTTGATCTATTTTTCTTTTTCTCCTTCTACTTTTCCAGCTTTCTTTGTTTTGAGCGAACTCGATTGAAGAATCGGGTGGACAAACACATCGTTCTCCCGCTAGCTGACATTATCACCATTGAAAAGGTAAGATGGTTTGTGAAAGTGTACAGAGCATTTAACAAACTTGGACTGTCTTCTCTGGTCCATGTGGATTAATTCACTATAACGAGAACAAGCCAAAAAGTGTCCTTTTTATAACTAAAGAATTCACTAATAGGGAACTGGTTTACCCTGAAAGTGAAAAAAATCACTCTGATAAAGGAAATGTGTCAAATGTAGACTTACTTTCAAGTCGAACGTATTGTTTCCTTTTTGCCATGTTGTTAGAAAGGGAACAAAAAACTTTTCTGTATCCAAAATACAGGAATGAATCTATGATTGATCACAGCTGTCATACACCTTGGAAACTGACCCTTGAACTCATACTTACAGGCCAATGTACTGATGACATCATCTTGTGTTCACGCATCTCTTTATGGAGCTTCAAATCCATCATCCCTGCCCAGCTTCTACAGAAAAGCATTAATGTACATTTTAAACAAAGCATGACTTCAACAGTACATAGGACTACTAAACATTGGATAAGGGTCTATTCTTTTTTAAGGGGTCCAGTGGGAAATACCCACAGTGGTACGCTTTGAAGGGTTTTAGTAAACTGTAAAGTCAACATGTTAAGTTTGTAATTACTTGTAGTAAAAAGCTACACATTTATATTTTTCATAGTGATTTTTTTACAGAAAAAAGTGGAACAAAATACCAAGATTTTAGGTTTCTGAATTGAGGGGTATTTAAATGATTAATTTGTTTTTGCTAAAAAGACTTTAGCTTTGATTATTCCCCCTTCACAAATGTGTTAAAGAAGTCCTCTGAGAAGACTTTCCAGTCAAACTGCTAGCTTGAACTCGGTAACTTGTGCCCAGTGTTCTAGCTAGGACAATTTAGTGCCGGATAAATTTTGTGGATTATCAAGCATAGCTAGCGCAGTGAGCGCAGCTGTCGCAGCCCATACCAGCATTTTTAGGGGAATACAAGAACAGATTTCCCCCTACGTCATCGTGAAGGCATGTTTACAATAATGCTTTTGCAATCAGCGGCTAATGTGATACAAAGAAAATGAGAGATATATTTCTTAGGTCGTTACTCGTCTGTACTTGTTTAAAATTGTAAAATAGTGCAAAACTCCGACTTTGTAAGCTTCAAATATGATCAAATTGGTACATTTTCAGCAATATTTCGGTTAAATTTTGGGAAAATCCATGCTGGGTGGCACAGCCAATTTGAACTCAAGAGCCGGGCGGAAAGTTACAGTACTGAGCAGCGCTGCCCAGCGCCGCCCACCGTGGCTAGAACACTATTTGCACCCCAGTTTGTCAGATGAAAAAAAAAATAGAAATTCAACCACCATTGGCAGTAAATTAAAACATATCACTGTTTATCCACAAAACATGGTACTTTCCAATTTCAGTAGAATGGCAGAATCGACCAAGTTATTAAGCCAGATTTAGTACTTCATTCACAGTTGTGCATCATTACGCATGACGTGTGTCTAATGGATTTGTTACAGTGTAAAAAATTTGTTTTTGAAATGTTTCACTTCTGCTACATGTAAAAAAAAGAAATGACATACAGTCTTCTTGTATTTGTGTAATCTTCACATGTCATGGAATGTAAATGAGCTTGCTATAGGGAAGAAAAACAATTTTCAAATTTTTAGCCTGTGGCCCCCATTTTGGACCCTTTATAGAATGACCCGTAAGCTCTCTGCGCTGTGTTGGTGCTTAAACCATGTTTGATCCCGCCCTGTCCAGGTGAAGCCTTTCTTTCTTCTCCCGGGCCCGGGGATGTCCATTGAAGTCCGTCTGGTCTCGGAGGAGAAGCCGTACGTCTTTGGTGCCATCCTGAACAGAGACGAGGTCTACGCGGTCATCCTGAGGCAAGTCTGTTCCGTGCGAGATGTGCGAATGACGAACGGCAAGGCCAAACGCAAGGAAACACCCACTGCCAGGGACAGCAGAATAGCAAGTACCAGCACTAGCAGTGATCAGTAAAAGCTACTCATAAAATATTGAATATTCATGTGCCCATAGTCACATGGCATGCTGATCATGAAATTAGCATGAAATATTCATACGTGGTGATGGCTTTGTAATCATATCGGGAATAAGCAATATAGACTGTATATTGGTTGTCAAATCTTTGTTAGGAAAAATGCATCATAATTGTCAACAGGGCAAAATAAATAGAATTTTAAAAAACGTGTTCTTGTTGAAGGTTGACAAACCATCATGTAAAGTCAACACTGAAATTGCCATAAAAAGCTTGTGTTTTTTTGGACAGAGTATAAATGTGTGGGGATAAATAGGTCAAGATGTAGACATTCCGCCTCAAAGGTGACCATACGTGACTTCTAAAATTGTTGGATTCATTTTATTTTTGATTTCTTCAAAATACGATTATTGACTTTAATTTGTACTGAAAGGTCACACAAACAAATAGTTAGATTGTGTTGAGGGAATGTAGGGATAAGTAAGGGTAAGGCCATTTCATTTGTGTGTGTACATGTAAAACAAAATCAGTGTTTCTACACTGAATCTAGAGATAGACTTTCATATTATAGATACTAAGATGAAAACAAAGCAAGTGAACTTTCCTCTATTTCTCCAAATCTCCACTTGTTGAGATGAGTTCTTCATGAGAATTCAGTCTGCTGGCTTAGTTGTAGGACGAAAAACTTCTTTTTAGGCATTTGTTAATATTGATTTTTATCAGTGGGCAGATGTTTAACAACTTATAACGAACCACTCATTGGTCTGGTGGCTTAAGTTCTTGAGGGTATGCAATGTATGCTCAGATAGGGACTGGGTACTAGATGTATTGAACTCACATTTCCTTGTGTTGTACTGATCTACAACTGGTTGTTTTCGATGTCAATTAGATGGCCTTTTTTGTATTTGCACGTATTCTTTTGTCTTTGGAATTCATACATGTGCCTGCAGTACTTTGAGCTCCACATTTTGAGGGTTTTTACCATTGATTGCTATTGTTGAGCTGTCTCTAGACACTGTTTCTAGCCAATGCATCTGTAGTTACAGTACTTGTACGTATGCAGTTATTCAAGGAAATACACTAGACTGTATAGGTGTACATGCCATGCAGCTGAAAATTTGTCAGTTTGGACAAGTTGGCACATCTGATTGAATTGACTTTTCTAATTGAGTTGAACTGCTGTGTTGATTCGCCCAGATGACCTGAGTTGATTTTCCAAATTGAGTTGACTGGGAATGTTGACTTGTCCAAGTGCGTCGGTCCAGTAGACTTGTCTCATCCGGTCGGCTAGTCAGGACTAAGCTTGTTCAAATAAGGTGGCTAGTCAAGTGTATTCATCTTATTGAGTTTGACCAATCACGTGGAATTGGCTCATTAAGTCAACCAATCAAGTGGCCTCGGCTGAGTGAGTTGCCCAATCTGGTCGACTTGTTCACTACAGTTGACCAATCAGGTGCTCTTTGTCTAACAGAGTTGACCAACAAGGTGGGCTTGTCTGCACTGACAAATCAAACTGACTTGTCTATTGGGTCGTTTATATCAATTTCAATTTTGTACTTACTGTCAGCTCAGAAATGTTCAATGCAATAGTTTGCTGTGGAACTTTTTAAAAATCAGTGTTGAAGATCAACATCTTTAGTCATTCTATTTGTAACACAAGTGTCGTTCATTCTGATAAGAGATGAGATGATTTGAAAGTTTAGGAAAAAAATGTTGAAAAAGAAACTTTTTATGTGAGTTTATATGGAGTGTCTAATTTTAGCGTGTTTTTCAGGCAGAAATATCAAATTTGAAAACAAATTGCAAATTACAGCATTTCTTAAGTAGAGATATCAGTATTTCGCAGTACCTTGGCCTTGGGCCTGAAATATAGTGAGAGGCACGTTTGAAGGGTTGACAGAGTTTGTTAGCTTTGTGTGAGCAAGCCCGTGGTGCATAATGCAAACATGTCCTCGGCTTAGTGTGCAAATTTTGAGCGCGCCTACAGGTATTAATGATGACAAGCCTGCAAAGGGAAGCTTACAACGGCCCGGTCCTCTTGCTAGAAATCCAGTTGATCATTACGTGGCTGGTCACAGGGAATTCATTCCCTGTCAAGTTATAAGCCCACACTGTTTGAATGTGATGCCAGTTACTTGTACGAGATGTGAATCGGCATACAGCTAATAAGCCACTTGTGAGTTAAATTTGAATAAAATCTGGTACGCTGTGTTATCTGATAACATAGAAACATAACGATTTGAATTCTCCAGACTAAAGACACTGTTGCTTTTGCTTAGTTACATATTGAGCCTTGCAACAATACTCTGTTCTCAATGGATAAGAATGGCACAAAGGAACCAGTCTATTCCAGAGATGGTGGTCACTATGCCAAAGCATGCCCCAAATCATGAGGTATAGCAACAGTGGTGTTAGTATGGAGAATTCAAGTTGTTATGTTCACGTGAATTTAAAGAGCTCAGTGTACCAGATTTTATTCAAATTTAACTCACAAATGGCTTATTGGTCTTTGCTAATGCGCCTTTGATCTTCCGGCTTCATAATAGTTGTTGCTTTCACATAATTAAATGGTCTACCGGTAGTTTTCTCAGTGGGCAGAAGCAATGTTTCTAAATTGAAAGTGAGCGTGCAGCAGCCATTTGGGCATTTTGTATGTACAGTTCATCCTATCCACAAGGCTAGCAGTCTTTGGGAATGTGCCTGATTGTCCAATAGGTGTAGCAGGTACTATGCCTATCCTACGAAAAATTTCATGGCCTGCGAAAATACCAGTATGCCGTACAACTTTCGTGCCTGTGCCAACCACTCACATGAAAGCTTGGCTTTTTAAGTGTTAAAGTGTCCCTCCTTCAGTTTTAGGGCTGTGCTGAATATATGAATAACCGAATATTAGATCGATTATCGAATATTCAAATATTTTCAGAATTTGAATATTTGAATTCAAAATTCATGAAAAAGAATGGACAATTTTCTTTTGTTTTAAATGAAAAAAATTGCACTGTGGAGGCTTGTTTCAAGCAGATTCAAATGAAAAGCGACAGAAATCTTACGATTCAAAAGTAAATAAATCATTAAACAATTTAAAAGGAATAGAAATTTTCAACAGGGCATGAAGATTGTTCATCTCTTAAATCTTTCTAAATTGTGGCTGGAGATACGGCTAGATGTGAGAAGCTATTATATTGATTATAATGTACAATTGGGTACGTCATTGCAACTGATTTTTGATATGGTTTGTTCATCAACAATCTGCCAGTGGGTGCGACCGAAGATTTTGCTATTTGATCAAATTGAAGGTCAAATATTCAAATAGTGAATTATTCGAATTGACCCAGCCCTAGTCAGTTTTCAATCTTGGGAAAGCTTCAAACTTCCAAAAAACGGCACACAGCTTGTAATATGCAATTATGTTGTATAGCGCAATGTATTACCGGGGGAGGATCAAGAGTCCCTATAAATAGGGTCTGATTAATTGTAACGTAGGTCCCAGACCCCTTGTTCCAGTGTTGTATTCGAGTACTTCACAAGTCCTTTCACAAGGCCAGTCACAAGTAACAGGGTGAATAATGACAAAGAATGCTTTTGTCACACCTCATTTGAATAGCTTGTTATTGTCTTGTAATAGACTTACAGGTACTTGCAGGGACTTTTGATGGACTCAAATACAACAATAACTTGCTCTGTAGGACCTACTCCACCCAAGGCACCAGCACCAATTCTATAGCTCTGGTAAGCACCTCACCCATTTTTATTTTTCCAGGTACTCTCCAAAATTCAAATTCATACTTGGGAAGAGGAGGTGGTTGGGGTCCCCAGGGGCTCCGAAACCCTCTTCCATGTACATTCCATGTATATTATGTTTGCTTGTATTGCTGTAAAAGTAAAAAGTGTTGGGGAAAAATGGAAGTTTTTTACATGCAGCTTTCCTCGCACATTGTATAGAAAATTTCAGTGTTCCCCAAACTTTCTTGGGCCAGAAACATCGTAGATCCAACTGTCCATCTTGGCAAAATTATGCCTGACCACCCTTTTGCAAAATTGCTGCATCAGTACCTAAAAGTGCCCACCCCAACATGATCAATGAACTCCTACAGAAGCCAGAAAAAAAGCCCCACCATCACCCCGGATGCTTGTGCCTCTCTGAAGCCCGCCTACAAAAATTCAGGTTTCACAGCTGCGGTGGATACGGAGTTTCAGGATTGAGCGCGAAATGCACTATTTCTGAAAATAAGAAGACTGTTATTGTCACTGGTGGAGTAACCATCTTCATCGCTTGATTTTCATTGGGAGTCTTGGCCATCTGGATTAATGGCCGTAGTGATGTTTTTCTCGGCTGTGTGTGGAGCCATGGGGAGTGGGGGATCAAAGAACGACTGTTACGGACGACTCTTTGTCCTGTACAGACCTTTACCAGTTTCGTTTAATTTTTTTGTCTTTGCCATCCATCCATGGACTGGCTGTGGGACACTGGTGTAGCCTGCAAAACTCAGGATGAGGCTTACGCTAAGCCCCAGTCACAAGATGAAACGGATCAACGTGCACTTTGACAATGGTGTTGTTTCAGTATAAGTGGTAAATAGTATTTTATATACCTGTGCAGAGAATGTGAAGTGGTACGGATTTCCATAGCCGGTCCACTTCTGCCAATTCGACGACTGAAGATCTACAAATTGCAAATATATTCCAAGGTAAAATGCTTGACTGTGACTATTACATGTCAAGTGTTTTGGTAACTCTGGGAAATGTAACAGATACCATAGTACTGCGTATCTTTTGAAGTGTTATATTGGAAAGTAGTTGGATGCGAATTTCTACTTGAGGATTGAAACACCCGATCAGAGCCTGAAAGTGAACTCTCTTGAAAAAATCGCTTGACATCGAATGCACATGGCTCAGTGTCGACTGCGGGGCGGAGGAGGCTGCCGATAAACAAAGATACATCAGATTGCACCCGATGTTCTTTTGCTTGTACGTGGGAAGTTCACTTCAACATTTCATTTGACATTTCATAGGAAACGTACTGCAAAATCTTATTTGGTTGAGCTTGGGATTGGGGTTAATTGAACAAAAATTTATTTTGATCCAGTTAACTGAAGTATTGGCTTAGTTTGACGTCAGTGTCAAGCCAGGTATCGACGGAAGTTCTTATGAATTAGCGCCATTGTGTTAGGAGACTGTGCAGATAGAGCTCTATAAGCTTTGACGTGCTTGGAAGCTCTCTGCCAGTGGATAGGGGTGCACGTGGGAGAATGAATGGATTGACCAGACCTCTCTTACAGAAACTGACCACCCTCTCAGTTTCTTATTTTCAAATAACACCTGATCGAGTATCTTTAGGTTTGAATTTGAAAACAGTCTGCTGCCCCTTGAGATCAAATCATTGTTTCTTCTGTGTTTTATGAGTTGGGAATGTCGAAACTCAACTCAATAGGAAAACTCGACAGAATGGACTGGGTGGGATGCATAATTCTCTAGAGGGAGATCTGCTCTAATGCGGACCAGCATTGTGTGGAGCACACTGCCTCCAGATATTCACACCATCTTCTCCATCACTGACTTCAAGGTTTCTCTTGAAACCCACTCGTTCAGTGGTTGTTATATTACTTCTTGTTAATTTTACTTAACTTGAAAGTTTTAATAGCTCCATAATTGAAATTTGTACTGCCCCGGTGGCATCATTATTTAGCGGAAGTTCGACAAGTTGAAATGTGTCAATATTGAAAAGTGGAGATATGAAAGAACTCGACAAAATTCACTTTATTCGCCATGAAATTGCAGATACAGTATTGCAGCTACCTAACGCTTATCAAAGTGGATTCCCGAGTGTTACATATTTGACATTCATTTTTTCGTTTTTAGGAGTTCAATATTTGAAAAATAAAATGTCAGGTTTAGGGTTGAGGTCGCCATAGTTTATTTACACCAACATACATGCAACTTATACACACAGCTTAATTGATTAGATCTGAAAAATGTATGCTCGTTTTTAAAAGAAAATCGAACAACCTTGCCACAGTTCATAATTATATTGGCGAGTCTATATTGAATAGGCTCCCAGCGGCATCGGTGGCGGCAAACATGAAAAAAAAAAAGTCTTTTGTGCAGAACTCTTGTTTTTTATGTTTACTTCGGATGTAATAAGCGGAGCCAGTCTAAGAATTCACGTCATTATTTCACTGTACACGGGGTCACCGAGAGTCTTGGGACTGGAAAAATAATAATTGTACGCCAAAGTATCTTGGATGACCGGGCCAGTTGGGACCCTTTGATAACAGTGCTGGATTTACCCGCACAGTATGGATGCTTAGCAAGTCCACAACAGGATAAGTCGCCAAGGTTGCGGATCCGACCCACCGTCTCCCCGGAGTCTAATTTTATGCCCGGAGTGGAGGCAAATATGAGGCAGCCGTATATTTGTCCTCTTGATCAATTCAAAACGAGATTGGTTTGCGTGCACCGATCTAAATAAACATTCGACACTTGAGCAAGGGAGTGGGAGAGAAAAACAACAGTGACGGGGGGAAGGGGAGAAAGGACCATTGAGCACGTGCCTTTAGCATTTTACAGCGCATCCAGTAATTGTTTGTGTTAAGCCCATTTCAATTCCTCGACGAATACAAATTAGGCTCTCTTTGTCGCCTGTGCCATCGTATATCCATTTCCGCCCTACACCCGCGCTTGAACGTCATGAAAAAGCTCAGAATTGAATCCCATCTCCCATACATACGAATACTTGTGTGAATTTGACGTGACGATTATTCAAGGTTTTCTATTAGATCACAGTATAATCCCAGACGCTTATAGTTGATATAGCCACTCACATTTTCTCTCTGTCTATTATTTTGCGCACCACGGCTTTGAGTTATAAACATCCTTGATTTTGGAATTCG